GCCCCTCCCTGAGAGTCACTGGGGGCCGCGGGGGAGGCGGAGGGTGCCGAGGCCCGTACCTTTCGTCCTGGGCGCGGCAGAGACGGATTCGAGTCCCCGCCCTGCCCGGCGCACTGGTTGCGGGACTGGCGCGCCCAGGCCTCCCCTTGCACCGTCTGCATCCCGCCCATCTCCCCGTTTCACGTGTAGGTGGGACAACTGTGACCAGAGAGGGTCAAGACTTGTCCAAGGCCCCCTGAGGGAGGGGGGAGTCGTTTCGGATCTGGAACTGGAGCGGGCGCGCCAGCCTCTCCTCCCCGTCCTGGTCCCCTCGCCCCTGACCGTGTTACTTTGAGACCCTCAACCCGGGAGCGCGCCTCCCCGCCTGCCGCCCGATGTCTGGAGGAGCCCGTAGGGGAGAAGCCGGCACTGACCCGCTGCCAGAGGCTCTTTGGGTAGCCTGGGAGGGCTGGTAAATACTGAGGGACGGGGGACTCGGCGGAGCTGTCCTTGTGACCCCGGGCCGGTAGTCTGTTGGGAAAACGCGTTGCGGCTCTGCACTCAGAGCGCTGTTTCTGGCATCCCTACTCCGAGAGCCTTACACTCTCAACGGGCTCCTGCCTGTGGCCCCTCCTTTGGATCTGGGGAAGGGGGCAGCGGGAGCAGGCAGAATCCTATTTCAAGACCTGAAGAAGTGGGGTCATACTATCCCAAAGATTTCCACACCCCTCTCCCCAAATTGTTCCCAGATGTGTAAGTGGGCAGCAGCAGACAGCTGACCCAAGATGCCTCACCTGGGCTGAGGTGTGGCTCATGAACAAAGGGGGCTGCCCAAGGGTTGCAGTGAGGTAAGGGTCTTCGATCAGGATGTGAAGACAGCATCAGCAGGAACATGGGTCACACTGTGAGATCATGGGAGCCATGTGGGTGCCTTGGCTTCCAAGAGGGCTGGTGGCGGAACCCTTACAGGGTTCTGGGTGGGGCAAAGGGGAACCCCAGACCTGGGCTTCAGTCTCCCGCAGGCTGGGAGGCAGAATATCTCGGCCTGGATGGCCCTGGCCCTGGGAATGGACTGGTCATCTTGCCGTCATGAAAGGAGTGGGTGGCTGTCTAGGCAGACTGCATGTCCACCACATCCCTGCCTGGTAGTAACAATACAGGTAAGGGTAGCTAATGGTTTTTACCACATGCCATCGCTGAGTTAAGCACTTCACTCATAACAGCTCTCGAGGCAGGTACATTTACAGTCTTTATTTTGGCATACAAAGCAACTGAGGTTCAGAGAGGTTAAGCTACTCACCTAAGCTCACACAGTTCACAAGTGGTTTGTCAGGATTTGCACTGGATCTGTCCAACTTTAGTGCCCAACTTTTGTAACCACTCTGCTTCTCACTGAATGTATGTGACCTGGTAGAATCCCTTTCCTTCTTGAGACTCAGTTTCCCACTCTGTAACTCGAGGGGGCAGAACTAGCCTGAAAGCCTGGGTTCCACACAGTGACCCTAGCAGGTGGAGGGGAGGATATAGGTGGATTATGTCCCACGTAGGGGGGATAAGGACCGACGTCCCCTGGGGCTAACAAGACTGCTTCCCTCAGTGGCCAGCACCTCGGAGGCTGAGCACCGTCTATTTGAGCATCTGTTTGAAGATTACAATGAGATCATCCGGCCTGTGGCCAATGTGTCCGACCCAGTCATCATCCAGTTTGAGGTGTCCATGTCTCAGCTTGTGAAGGTGGTGAGTGATGGAGCCACGAGCCATGGCCATTGGGTATGGGACTTCTGCAGCAGCCTTTCCCAGAACCAGCCTTGTTTTTGTAATTCACCTGTCTGCTTTAATCCCTCTTTGCAGGATGAAGTAAACCAGATCATAGAGACAAATCTGTGGCTCAAGCAAGTGAGTGACTCAGGCCCTAAGCACTGCTGCACCCTGGTGGTGACTGCTTTATTTGCTGTCAATGAACCAAAAATAGCCCAAAGATGGTGCTTCACTCCTCTGGATACAGACTGAGGTCCACTGGCTGGTCTGTCTTTTCTGGGGCTTGGGGTCACATGCACTGCTCTAGAGTCCCCCTGGAAGGACTGCAGGGCTCAGCGCCTCGAGTCAGAGATGGATATCCTGCAGCCTGGAGAGAGAGACCTTCTCCATGGTCACACAACAGAATGGGGACTGGAGCCCTGGCCCCCAACTCCTGGGTGGTTCCTGAAACCATCTCCTTCCATTCCTCTTGCCAAAAACTTACCCTTAAGTCAAAACGAGATGCTGTTGTTGTTAATGGTAGGGTGAGAGTAGGGAGTCTGAATTTTCTTGTTCAGGTTGACGCTGATGAAATTGGCTTCCACTTGTCCTCCCCAGGGAGGCTTTGTCCAGATCTGCTGAGACATAATAGCCTATTGGCCTGGTGGTGACCCTTCTGCCATCCTGGCCAGCTGAGCACTCAGCTTACACAGCCTTTGTCCCCAGGGGACTGGAAAACCAGACAGGCACAGTGCCCCACCTAGTGCTCGATTGATCGCACTCACTCCCTCTGTGGCCACAGCCTCACCCCTCTCCCCTTCAGTGCTCAGGACTCAGACCTCCCAGCCTCTGTGCCCAAACACTTCTTAGCCTCAATGGGATACAGGATGGCTTCTTCCCCCAGGACCTCTCAGAGGCTGGCCCTGCTTAACTTTGAGGTGGAAGAGGCTTCTGTATGTAGTTGGAGAGCACCCTCTTATTGGGGATTGGTGGGGGTCTTGCCTGGAAAAGCACCTGGAGAGCCATTTCGTGGGAGGTAAATAGCAGCTTAAGACATGGACCTGGACTGGTGCTCGAAATCCAGGAGGCTGGACCTGGCACTAGAAGCCATCAGAGAAAGCACTAATGGTCCCCATTTGATTGATGAGGGGCTGGGCTCCCTCACAGTCACGGAGAAAGCAGCTCCCCTAGAGGCAGGAGGTGACCTGCAGACTCAGCCCGGTGTTCTGCACTGCACCCGAGGGAGAAATTGGGCCAGCATGGTTTGCAGCATGGAGGTGGCTCAGTGACACACAGCAGGGTGGGGAGTCACCAAGATGGGTGGTGTCAAGCAGAGTAAAACCAGGCTGGTCTTTTTTGCTGTCTCCTTTTCCCTCCCTCCCTCTTCTCTCCAGATCTGGAATGACTACAAGCTGAAGTGGGACCCCTCTCACTATGACGGGGCAGAGTTCATGCGTGTCCCTGCGCAGAAGATCTGGAAGCCAGACATTGTGCTGTATAACAAGTAAGCTGCTGGGTGGCCCACACCCATCAGGGCTGTCAGCCTGGGCTCTGGGTCCTCGACCCACTGCGCTTGCAGACTGGCCTTCCTCAGGCCTTTTCCCTCTGCACGTATTTATTGAGTTCCTACTGCATACCAAGTACTAGAGATGCCAGTGAACCACAGAGAGCAGCTGTGTACTGAGTGGCTTCAAAGGGGCCGTTTGGGTGGAGGAGGGGCATCAGGAAGAGCTTCAGGGAAGAAGTGGCAGATGAATTGGGTCTTGAAGGTTGTGTAGGATGTGGAGAAGGGGAGACGGAGCAGGAGAGGGCCCAGGGAGGCAGGAGAGTATGTCATAGGCAGCCGAAATGACCTCATTGGCTGGACTGTGACATAAGGCTGGAAGGATCAGGGGAGCAGCCCCAGTGTGTGGTAGGGGGAGAGCGAGATGCAGGGGAGGGCTGTGAATGTAGCATCTGTTGCCAGCTCTGTGCCAACAGACAGGAACGGGAGTTCATGGCTCCTGCCTCACCCTCTTCTTTGAAAGAGAATGAGGGTGTTGGAGAAAGTGAAAGCTGGGTGAGCCCGGGTCACATAACCCCAGGGTTCCCAGCCTGCTGACTGGCACAGTTTCTAAGGAGCTTTTGAAAAATACAGGTGCCTGCATTTAAAATATTTTCTTTGTTCCTCACTGTCTTTTTAGCTTAGTTGGTTAGAGCATGGTGCTGATGACACCAAGGTCCAGGGTTTGACCCCTGTGTTTGACCAGCCAGCCACCAAACAAAAATAAAGTTAATATTTATTATATTATCTAAAAAAAATCTCTGTGCCTGTCCCTAGGTCCTACCCCACAGAAACACTGAGTT